GTGGAGGAAAAGGATGCTCCGCCTGTTCTGTAGTGTCCCAGAGGGGAACTGGCTGGCTGGTCCTGGTCCCCAGATGCCGACGAGGATTGGCCCGGAGTGCCTGTGACCATATGCCCTGAGGAGCCCGAAGAGGCCTGGAGGCCACAGGTACCAAACCTCGGGGAGGCAGAAAGTGGCCCAGGGGCAGCCACAGAGCAGCCAGCTGCAGAGCCAGGTGTGGCTCAGTCAGCGTGTTGCAGCTGGATCCCCGCTGACACAGGGGCAGCCAATCCTTCCCCTGCCAGGGCCCTGGGCTGGGACGCAGTGGAATAGGGTGGGCCCACGTCCCCCTGCCACCCCACCCTTGGATGGATGGCTCCCTACACTGTGCAGGGAAGCTCTAGCCCTGAAGAAGGAGCCTCCCTTACCAGCTCGCTTATAGACTGTTTGCTTTGCTGGCTACCTGAGCTCCGCCCAGGCTAAAGCCAGCCCTGATAGACTGTTCATTGCTGGCTGCCTGAGCCTCCTCAAGCCCCCAGCTCAGTTATAGACTCTATTTAAGGGCTGACATTTTGAGCCGCCCAAACGCAAGCTAAAGCTTGACTGTGACTATTGATCACCCAGCCCTACTGTGGGCTCTTGGCTGTCCTGTGGATTCGGGTCCTGGCCAGACAGGACCGGACTGAGTGGCCTCCCTCTGAGCAGGAGAGCGAGGGCCCATTACAACCTGAGATAGGGCCTATCGGTCGCAGGTCCCAGGTGAAGCTGCTGGAGTCCTTGGGGAGGAAAAGCAGTGGGAGACCTGTCAGGCCCAAGAGGGGCAGAAATTCAGTTGGCAGGATATTTTATTTTAATTGGACTTTTGTTACCCTGGAAGGGGACTGAACTTTAAGTGTGACCTGGCTGGAGGACTGAGTGACCCAGAAGACCAGTTTAGAAACCAATTGGCCAACAAAATGGGAGATGTTCAAGGTGAAATCCTTGCAGTGCTGAATCCTGGCATGAGGGGATGCTCTGGCAGTGAGTGCACCACATAACTATTTGGAACCAATGGTGGGATTCCCAAGATCCTCTTCCCCTCCCATTAAGGAGGGTTGATTGAGCAGCAAGGCAGAGCTTCTGTATCACCAGGCCTTGTCATGAGGGGGCCCCTGTCTCACAACCAGAATGGAAGGTGGTGTGCACCTGAAGTCTTGCTGGCCGACAACAATATCAGGAGCAACAGAGACAAATTCAGAATCTTCTGTTCTAGTGCCTGGAAACCCAGCAAAAAGAGCAGGACGCACATTTCCCTGTACAACAACACTAGCCAGAGGTCCAGTAGCAGCGGCACAAATGGTTCTTACAACAGCTAGAGAAATGGGCTACCAGGAGTCAATCTAGCATAGGGGTGGGTTCTATGGGCAGACTGTTCCATATATTGGAAAAACTGGAGCTTCAGGATGACTAGAAGCCTTCCTCTGCACATTTGAATGGGTGGCTAGTTCAGCTGATTGGGAAGAGTCATCCCAGGAGGATAGGATGGCCCCATTTTTGACTGGAGAGGCAGTTGCATATAGGGCCCTGATTGATGAACAGGCTGGCTTGTATGTGGAGGTCAAGGAAGCTATCCTGGTCAGGCTGGGTTTCACCCCACAAGCATATAGACATCAGTTTTTGGATGGAGCCCATCTGTGAGTTGTGGCTCAGTGGTTTTGGAACCTTAAAGCATCCCTGTTTCCTGCTAGGGGAAAGTCATGACATAGTTGCAGGACTGCAACTTTTTTGGGTCCTGGGTGAACATAGATGTGTGGTCCCTTACATAAGTGATCCCTTCCCAGGAGTCATGTGGTTGCTTATTGATGATAGCTTGTTTGTCAGGTGGAATTCCTGAGGCAGAGGTAGCGCATATCAGTGTGAGTATATCCTGGTGAAGAGCTGTGTGGATAGGACCAAGTCGTTCCGTAAGTCGATGCAATTGTTCGTCGCAGTGGCTGACAGGATAAAAGGTCGCCCGGTATCCTCTCAAAGAATTTCTTCTTGGATCACTGCCTGCATTCGCTTCTGCTATGACCAAGTGAAGGTGCCATCCCTGGCAATCGTCACCACCCACTCTTCGGCAGCCTTTCTGGCCCATGTGCCTATCCAGGGCATCTGTAGAGCGGCCACATGGTCATCTGTCCACACTTTTATGTCCCACTACGTGCTGACCCAGCAGGCCTGGGACAATGCTGGCTTCGGTAGGGCAGTACTGCAAGCCACTAAGCTGTGAACTCCAAGCCCACCTCCATTGATACTGCTTGTGAGTCACCTAAAATGGAATCGACATGAGCAAGCACTCGAAGAAGAAAAACCGGTTACCTACCTTTCATAACTGTTGTTCTTCGAGATGTGTTGCGCATGTCCATTCCATTTCCCGCCCTCTCATCCCTCTGTTGGAGTTGCTGGCAAGAAGGAACTGAGAGGGCGCCGGGACGGCGGCGCCTGATATACCGCCGCATGGGGGTGCCACTCCAGGGGGCACCACAGCTGGCCCTATGCATACTGCTAAGGCAGAAATCTCCAACAACTGTGCACATGGGTGCACGCACACCTTGAATGGAATTGACATGAGCAACACATCTTGAAGAACAACAGTTACGAAAGGAGGTGACAGTTTTTTCTCCAAGGTCATCTGAATGACCTAGGCCTGCAAGGCTTAATTGTCAGCCTGAAGTCAGGCAGACCCACTTGGGAGTGCCCAGTGCTTCCAGAGGTTTAGCCAGCTCCATTTTACTGGTACCAAGCCCACTCCTGTGGCTTAAGTGGTCCATGCAAACTGACATGGGGAGTCTGACCTAGCGGTCAGACCAGGAGTTGGGAGCCAGGCTGGGTCAGATACCAGGAGATTAGATTCTGAGATATGCCAGAGGGCAGATCGAGAGTCAGGTGTAAAGAGGCAGGCAGGGTCAGGTTACCAGGAGATCAGAGTCAGGTAGTAGGAGCAGGTAGTGCAAGGGAAACAGTCCTGAGCAGGTGTGACCCAGTTACACGGACAACTTCTTGTTCCTGTGCTTGGTTTTAAATACAATCAGGGACATTCAGGACCCCAGAATTCAACCTAGCAGATTCCAGGATTGGAGTCCTCTGCTCTGTCGGAATTCAACTTCTAGTTCTGGTGCCTGTTAGCAGCCACTGGGTGGCAGAGGGTAGTGGATCAGTGTTCTCATTGCACACACCATGAGTACCTGGTTCATACCAGGGAAACTGACGATCCAACCACCGAATAACATTATCCTTTTTAGGGACACATCTAGATCACTTTCCAACCAACATTCCTGATGCAATTCTTCCCCCCCAATGTTTGAGCCACGGTGGAAAGTGTCCAAGGTCAAGCTATCTCCTCTGAGGATCTCTGGGTGGATCTCAGGTTATATCTTACTTGCTATCAATTATCTCACCTTCCTTCCCCCACACAGGATGAGCACAAGCAATGTCTATAACATTGCTTGAGGAAGTGTCTTTGGTTAACATTCGTAAAACAGCTATGTGGACTTCCAGCCATATGGTCGCGAGTCATTATGCTTTAATAGAAGATTGCTATGGGGCATGCTATAGGGCAACAGTCCTTCATGCAACTCTGCCACCTGCATCCTTGCACTCTCTTCTTTCTTGAGTACTAGTTGTCAGTCACCCACAATGGAATACACATAGGGACCAGCACTTGAAGAAGAAGAAGAAGTTATTTACCTTACAGGTTATTTGAGATTTGTGGTCCCTATCATACATACTACCCACTCTCCTTCCCCTCTGCTTCGGACCTTGATTAGATTCATGGTAGAGAAGGAACTTGAGAGGTGGTTGGTGTACTCCATCTTTTATCTCCTTGGGTGGAGGCCCAAGGAAATTAAGGGTCACAGGGCAGATCTTGCAGTGAGAGAGAGAGGCAAAAGAGACAAAGGTGGAGAGAGGGAGTGAATCAACAACTATATCAATGGAAGAAAGGATGAGAAGGCTGAGAGCAGTTAAGAAGTCACTGATGTTGTAGGACGAAGTTGCGGAAGGACCAGTGACAGGGCATGAGGGAGTTGGGGGGCAATGGGTGATGCTGAAAGGGAGGGAACTCAGCAACAGAGATCAAAGAAAGCAATGCTTGGTGAGACCAAATTCTATGAGTGTTCCTTTTGGTGAATGGGAGAGTTGACTGAGGGCTGCAGAATGAATGAAGAGGGGAGGAAAAGAAAGTGTGCAGCTAAGGGGTTGGATGGGTTGTTACCATGGAAGGAGAAGTCTCTGATGCTGAATGTGGGAGATTGTGAGGAGAGGAAGAGAGAGTGAGGAGTTGAGATCAGAGAGGAAGGCTGATGGGGAGGAGCTGGATGGATGGTAGGTGACAGCAATATTGAGGGGGAGAGGAGAGAGGTCAGATGCAGTGCTGTTCAAAAGAAGAGAGGAGGGAAAGGGAGGAGGGAGGTATTGGAAACAGCAGCAAGGGGACAGGAGAAGGCCCGTACCCCACCACAGTCTGATTCAGGGCGGGGGTGTGAGAGAAGGAGAGGCTTCTATAAGAGATGTCAGCTGCAGAGGGATCCAGATCTCTTGAAGAGCCAGGAGCTGGAGGGAGCAAGATAGGAAGAGGTCGCGGGTGGCTGAGATCTTTGAAGATATGTCATGGCGTTCCAGAGACAGCAAGAGAAGTGGAGGGGGAATGGGTATGAGGTTAGCAGTGTTGGCACAAGAGGGGCTGCGAGTGGGTGAGGAGGTGGACTGAGGCAAATGTACCTGAGGTGAGGAAAAGGATGCAGGTGTAGAACCTCACCAAGGGCATCAGCCTTACATACAGAACAAATTTCCAGGGATCGTGGCCTGGCCTTATCCATGGCATACGAGAAGGGGCCTCCTATAGCTCTGAGAATGTGATGAAGTGCCTGCCTACTAACAACTCCCTTGATCCCATGGGAAAACCTGTATGTAGATGTGGCACAACCGTGTATTAACTTTATAACAGCTGATCACCTGGAAATGTCTTCTTTTTAATCATTTCACCGTGTTGCCTCTGTCAGGAACATCTTTGATTCAGGATATGAAGGCTTATCTAGAAGGAGCTGGGATCGAGTTTTGTGATATCATCCTCCTGTTAGATGGCCACCCAAGACCAGCACATAAGGCAATTCTGGCAGCCCGCTCCAGGTGTGTGCACTCTGATCAACCATTTACCGAAACTTAGAAACTTTTTTAAAGAGTCGTAATTTACTAGAGCAGTAACAAATGTCATGTGTAGACATGATTTATTAGTACCACAGACTGCTTCTTGGATCAGCTTGTTTTGAAGCACACAAGAGAATAGGCTTCTGTTCACTGAGATCTGAGTAACACATAGGATTTTCCCCCTATAAATTAAACATAATAGAGCCATTAAGCAACAGTGACTAAAATGTGAATGAATTTGCCATCCCAGCAGGGAAATGTTAGGAAATCAAAACCTTAGTTGAATAACAAAAGGTCTATATCCTACCACAATTTCAAAAAGAAGCAAATAATCACACATAAAACTACGGTCATTAACTGGAAAGGAACAAGTGTTCATGAAGAACAAAAAGGATGTTCTAAAAAATGGAAATGCAGCTCAAATGATGCTAATAGAATGAAGCATAAACTTTGGTATGTAAGCTATGAGGTAGAGATTTAAGAATCAATTGAACAAAAAACATCAATACATTAGGGGGTAGATTAGTCTCGCTGAGTTCCCACTTGGTTGCAGGTGTAAATAATTTACCCTTTAAGGGTGTATCATACGTCTCCTCCCTGGCATGGCCAACCAGCTCCCTTGGCTAGTGCATGTAGTTACTGGGCTCAATACAGTGTAAAAGGGCAAGATTCTATGGCCTGTAACTTGTGGATGACTAAAGTATGTCTTCCAGAAAAGATGTCCAATCTTGATTTAAAGAGATGGAGAAGCCACCGCCTACCTTGATAGTTTGTTCCAATGGCTAATCACCTTCACTGTGTGTATTATTTCTAATTTGCACTTGGCTTTAACTTCCAGCCACAGGTTCTTATTCTGACTTCCTCATTAAAGAGCCCTTTGGTACCTGCGAAGAAAATACAAGGGACATGGTAATCAAATCACCTTTCAATCTTCAAACCCAGTGGTTAGGGCACTTGTGTGGGATGTGGGAGACCTGGGTTCAAAACACTGCTCCTCATCAAGCACAGTGGGGATTTGAACCTGAGTTTCCCAAATTGTGGATGAGTTCTTTAGCCATGGGACTGTTGGTAAAAGGGAAGGTGCCATCACCTTCTGCTTCTCAGTTTTTGTTGAGAAAGGGCTGACCCGGCGTAGGTGACTGACTCCAGAGGCTCATGGCTGTGACCCCCAGCTAGAGGGAAGCACCTCCCTCAGACCAAAGTTAGGCACCTACCTCCCTTTAAGAGGAGGCTACATCCCTCTCCTCAGCATTTCCTATTGACTGGCTTAGGCAACTCCCCACTCAGCATGCTAGCTTTTGATAATCCCTTTTTGAGGCATCTAACTCTCCTCAGTTCAGGGTTTGATAGGGTGACAGCTTCATCCTCACTGATCAGCATGGTTTACAGACGGCCTGGGACAGATGAAGCAGGAGAGGAAGCTAGACAGGAAGACAGCTAGAATGCCAGTGGCAGAAATCTCATGCCAAGCCTGATTGGTTGTGACATGAAGAATTTGCAAGGGAGAAATTGTGAAGGGCTTTAATCAGATATACAAGTTGAAGAGATATAAGACTGAATGCCATTAGGAGTCTACAGTAACCTGTGACAAGAACCTGCACTCAGCAGCTGTTATCCAGAAATTGTGACAGTGTCATTCAGATTCAGGCACCTGAAAAAATTGACACTGACATATTCAAAAAAGGAAGGGAGAGCTGGATCAATTGTCCAGAGTGAGGGGTACAGCTGGTGGGGTGAAGAAAAACACTTTGCCACGTTAGTAGATGCAAGTTATGTTATATGGAGAGAAAGAGTAGAAAAGGTGGGAAAGCAGAGTAGGATCTAGCTCAGAGGTGGGCAAACTATGGCCCATGGGCCACATCCGGCCCGCGGGACCCTCCTGCCCGGCCCCTGAGCTCCTGGCCCTGGAGACTAGCCCCAGCTGCTCCCTTGCTGTTCCCCCGCAGCTTGCCCCGCCGCTGGCGCAATGCTCTGTGCAGCGGGGCTGCAAGCTCCTGGGGCAGCGCTGCTGCAGAGCCCGCCCTGACTCGGTGCTCTGTGCTGCACAGTGAGTGGCTGTAGTGCCGCCATCCATCCGTGCTCCAGGCAGCGCAGTAAGGGGGCAGGGAGCAAGAGGGGTTGGATAGAGGACAGGGGAGTTTGGGGTGGTGATCAGGGGGTGGGGGTGTGGATAGGGGTCGGGGCGGTCAGAGGGCGGGGAACGGTAGGTTGAATGGGGGCAGGGGTCTGGGGGGGCAGTCGGGAAGGAGGGGGGGTTGGATGGGGCAGGTCA